TGCTAGGATTATAGGCGTGAGCCACCATACCAGGCCAACATGATCTTTTCAAATGTAAACAGGCAACACCCGTCTGCTTAGAACGCTTCATAGCTTCCTCTTTCCCATAGGCCATGGTAAGGACCTTTGTTTTTATCATATTAATACAAGGTCCTGCATGGTCTGGTTGGTGCCTCTCACCAGCCTCTCTCTCCTCTGCCCTCTGAGACCAGCCATGCTGGCCTTCTCTCAGTTTCTCAAATGCCACCACACTCTGCTCCCCACTTGGGAAACACTCATTTCCACACCTCTTGTCCTTTCACGTCTTGATTCCCACCATCCTTCAGAGCTCAGCTTGAATGCTTCTCAAAGAGGCTTTCTCCCACCCTAGACTAGGTCATGACATCCTAAGCTGCTCTGCACAGCGAGTACTCAGATGTTGGTATAGCAGTATCCACAGTGGTGGAGTGTGGAGTGTTGGTATAATAGGGTCCATCTGACCCCCACTCCCTCCCCAGAACATAGGGTCCTTGAAGACAGGGACTGTGCTTGTCTTGTCACTGACATATCTTTAGCACCAATGATACTGCTTACTATGTGCTCAGTAAATACTAATATTGGCTGCCTGAAAGAATAAAATTTGGAGCTTAGAAGTGGCAAGAGTCTGTATGGGCTGGGATCGTCCAAAGGGCTTCATGGAAGCAGAACCCCCTTGGCTGGGTCCTGGAGGGTGAGGAGGAACATCTGGGCAGAGCTCAGGCTCCTCTCTCATCCCTTATTTCCTGATCTTACTTGGCCCGGCATGCCAGTTTCAACGAGACATTCCAGTTTCTGTTCTGGACCATGTTTGGCATGGAGGAGCACAGCGTGGTAGACATGCCTCAGTTTCTGGTGCCTGAATTCGTGGGCCGGGCCCTCTATGGTATCTTTACCATCGTCATGGTCATTGTGCTGCTCAACATGCTCATTGCCATGATCACCAACTCCTTCCAGAAGATTGAGGTGCGTGAACTGAGGCCAGCTTCGCACAGGGAGAAGCAGGGAGAAAGGGATGGATAAGAAGAGGGTACCAGGAGCCAAGACACTTGGGTTCCTTCTCTGCCTCCACTACTGTGTAGCTTTGGGCAAGTTTTCCTCTGTAAAATGAGGGTCTTAGTAATGCTATTATTAATTGTTCCTCCAGACACTGTGGAGCTTTGGGCAAGTTTTCCTCTGTAAAATGAGGGTCTTAGTAATGCTATTATTAATTGTTCCTCCAGACACCAAGTCTAGTGCTCTTTCCACTGTGGGGGTAGGGGAAAGAAAAGCAGGGGGAGCAGGAGAGGGAGAGGGAAGGGAGAGGATGGGAGTGGATGGTGGGAGAACAGCCTGGGCAGGAACTGGATGTCAGAAGATGACAGGTAAGGAGGGGAAGGGAAGATGAGAGGAAGCAAGTGGAGAGACGTGGGTGATAGACGAGGACAGAGATAAGCAGGGGGAGAGGGAAGAGGTTGGCACTGGAGAATAAGAGATGTGAGGACCGGGGAAGAGAGGCAGATGAGGGGGCAGGAGGGTCAGGTGTCAAGACGGCCCCTGCACAGCCCCTACCTCCTGGCCCACAGGATGACGCCGATGTGGAGTGGAAATTTGCTCGCTCCAAGCTCTACTTGTCCTACTTCCGAGAGGGCCTGACCCTGCCTGTGCCCTTCAACATCCTGCCCTCTCCCAAGGCTGCCTTCTACCTTCTCAGGTGATGACCTCAGAGCTCCTACTCCCATCCCCCAAGCACCCGGCCCACGCACACCACCCAGCTCCTGCCCTCTGTCCTCTAACCAACCTTAGGCCCCGTCCTCTAACCAACCTCTTCCCACCATCGAACTCTCAGGAGAATTTTCCGGTTCATTTGCTGTTGCTGCTCCTGCTGCAAAACCAAGAAGCCAGACTACCCCCCGATCCCGACCTTTGTGAGTACTTCATCTGTGTGTTGTTGGTCTCGCTCACCTCAGGCCTTCAACCGCACTGTCTCTACCGTGCATTCGTGCGCACGCCCCAGCTTTTCTGTCTCTCCAGGTACGTTCCCCAGGAGCCTGTTCCCAATTCCCACTCTGTGTGGCTTCCCTTTCCCTCCGGCCATTTCCTAAATTTCCAACCCTGCATAACACAGCTTAAACAGAAGTCCTTGCCACACTCCTCCCAAGCTGCAAATACCCCCTAACCTCTGGACAGAACTTTTTGCCCTAAACTGGACCAAGACATGGTTGAATATTTAAAAAAACAAAACAAAACAAAAAAAACAAACAACAAAAAACACGTTAAGAAGCCAAGGGTAAAGTCCTGCAAACTGGGAAATTAGAGGCTGACAGTGGAGGCTCAGGAGAGGAAGCCAGGCATACAGAAGCTCTGTTAGCCTCAATATCTGCTCCCCAACCCAGTCTGGCTTGGCAGGAGAGCCCCTTCCTAATTCAGACCAGCGTCACTGCCAGATTTGTGGGGGGTTCTCCCCGCACTCCACCTCCCAGCCCTCACCTGACCCCCACCCTGGTCCACAGTCGGCCTTTCCCCAGCTGTCCTTCTGCCTTCTGGACTGGACTGTGGTGCGGGCAGACCAAGGTCTAGGCCTGTGGCCTTCAGGGACAGAACAGCCTTCACAGACTTTGCTCTGGGCCTTTGCTGCCTGGCAGGTGGGGGTGGGGGCAGGGATTATAGGAAGGCTGGGGTGGAGAATCTCTCCCACCCTCCTGTCTTCCCATTCCAGGCCAATCCTGGGGCAGGGGCAGGGCCTGGGGAAGGAGAGCGTGGATCCTACCGCCTTCGTGTCATCAAGGCTCTGGTACAGCGTTACATAGAGACTGCCCGGCGCGAGTTCGAGGAGACCCGTAGGAAAGGTTAGTTGCCCACCTCCAAGTCTTTCCCACACCTGTTCCTTGCTCAACTGGGGTAAATGTCCCACAACCAAACTCACAGCCTTATTCAGCCTGCAAATGTGGCCCCATCCTACTCTGCCCTTAGAAGGGCAACCTGCACAATGTGGCCCCTTGCACTCAATCACCCTCTGACCCATTCAGGCATTTATTCTACTCATTTCACTTAATCGCTCATTCCTGTCTTCATTCTGTGTTCATTTATTCTCTCCTTCACTCACTCAATTCATTATTCATTCATTCACATGTTCACTTATTTCTTCACTCTTTTTTTTTTTTCCAAAGACCAACAGGAATATTTCTTCACTCATTCTACCAACATTCAGTGCTATGGTCTCCTTTGTTCCAGGTCCTGTCTGGAGGGAGGGGACATTGTGTAGATCAGGGACACATAGGGAGCTTTCAGAAACCATGATACTAGGCAGAAAGTGCTTGGCTGACGTGGTGGCTCATGTCTGTAATCCCAGCACTTTGGGAGGCTAAGGATTGAAGACTGCTTGAGCCCAGGAGTTCAAGGCTGTAACGAGCTATGATGAGCTATAATCGTGCCACTGCACTCCAGCCTGGACAACAAAGCGAGACCCTATCTCTAAAAATAAAAATAAGAAAATAAAAAATGAAAGTTCTTAGCTAAGAGAAACATAAATTGCAGTGGGAGCCTGAAGGAGGGAAAGAGCCTATCATTTTGTGAGGATCATGGAAAGGTAGAAGGACAGAGTAGCAGAAGTTGGAGGGAGAGGAGATGGAATTTGAACTGGGCCCTGAAGGATGGGTATGAGCTGGTCAGGTGTAGATGGGGGGTGGGGAGAGATTGAGAAGGGCAGATGTACGAATGTCCTAATGACTTAAAAACTTTCCCTATGACTCCTGATCCCCTTTCTGGCCCTCAAGACTTTCCTTCTTTCTATCTCCTAAACCCTCTCCCACCCAAATCAGCTTCATCTGCCCCAGATTCTGCCTATCTGCCTGACTCCCAGCCCATAAGCCATTTCCTCATTTCTTCTAGTTCTTCTTCCTCAAGAACCCCAGACAGGGCATCCTCTGGGGTTCTGTTCTGGGTAGAAGTACAGGGCAAGCTCATCTTCTGAAAGACCCCCTCCATACTCCACCTCCTCCAGACCTGGGCAACAGACTGACAGAGCTGACCAAGACCGTATCTCGACTGCAAAGCGAGGTAGCTGGTGTGCGGCGCACTCTGGCGGAGGGAGGGACACCCCGGCCTCCCGATGGTGCCAGCATCCTCAGTCGCTACATCACCCGAGTACGCAACAGCTTCCAGAACCTGGCGCCCCCCATTCCTGAGACCCCAGAGCTGACAGTGCCAGGGATTGTGGGGACCCAGGTACCTTCAGAAACTGGGCTGCAGGACACTGGAGGGGCTCCAGCTTCTGGACAGTCTGGCCCCTCCTCCCCAGCTCATGTGCTCGTGCATAGGGAACAGGAAGCAGAAGGGGATAGCGATCTGCCCCAGGAGGAGGCTTTAGGGACCAGTGCAGGGTCCTGATGCACAAGGGCCCCTTCTGTTGCTGAGTATAGCAGCCTAGATGGGTGAGTGAGGCTGGGGGTCACTTAGTAGGAGCCTATGCTGCTTTCATGCCTCAATAAAGTTTCTGTCCTGGATGTCAGATGTCTCCAGAGTGTGTGAGAATCCCTGTGTCTTGATGTTTTGAGTTCTTCCCCATCTTTCTCCTAAAATAGACCCTGTGGGAACAGGACAGACAGAATTGGCTTGCTCTGGGGTCCCACGTATCTCGGGCTTAGGATCCTACTTTTGGCTTCCCCAAATATTTAGTGGAAAGAGTTCTGGACCAGGAGGCAGGAGGCTTGGGTTCAATACTGACTCTCTGACCTTGAGTAAGCTGCTTCCTTCCTTGGCTTTAAATTCCAAATATGGCTGAGGAATCCAGCCATCCCCCTTCTTGCCTTCATGGTTGTTGTGAGGACCCTGTGGCTGTGTAAGCTTCTGGATTTCCAGGTTATAGTGTGTGACGTGGGTCTGCACAGGGGACCATGTCTAGGAGTGATCAAGAAGTTGCTCTTTTTAGTCCCTCAGTCTCTGAGCTTGGCAAGGACAGAGCAGGGCAGATGGTCCAGTGTCATGGAACAAACCAGTCAAAATTCTACGTCTCCGCACTGCAACAGTGTTTAATCAAGTAACCATCACAGTACTTCCCTGGCTTATCTCACGGGGTCCCCACCACAGATCGGGGCTCCCTCAACCCTGCTGTGGCCTCAAGTCTTCCCACATCCTGGTTGGGGAGATGGCTGCTAGGGCTGGATCCAAAACCATGTTCTTGCTTCTTGGGGCTGTTTGAAGCCCCCTTTCTTTATATTAATAAGAAGGTCACCAGTTCCCAGGACTGCTAGTGGCAGGTGGTAGATTTTCAGGGCCCAACTCCTGACAGCTGGAACCCCACAGGAGCCAAGAGCAGGGTCTTCCAGGAAAGCAGAGAGAAGACTCCCTCAGAGGGTAACTCTGGCTGCCCTCCTGCTGGAGAGAGAAGAGAAGATGAAGCAGGGCCAGGAAGAGTGGAAGCACCTGAGGGAGGGGCAGGAGGATGACTCACCTGGTGTGTACACACAGCCCTGCCTCTTCTCCCCTGCAACAAGGCAGCACGGTGAGGCTCTGTGTGGCCCACTCTCACACCCCAAATTTCCCTTCCCCCCAGGCCCTGTAAGGGACATCCCCCCTCTCAGTGCATCTTTCCCTTCACCTAAAGGCAAACTTCTGACTTTCCTTGCTCCTCCCTCCCCCAGGAAATCTTTCCAAATTGCCTGTCCATTCCATTTCCAGGTGGTACCCTATCAGCACCATCGAGCCTGGGGCCTCCGGTCTCTTTCTTCTTAACCAGGTCTTAACCAGGTCTTTTTGGTCTATTAGACTATAGAGAAGATGGACCCTTTTGAGAAAATATAGAATCTGAGAATATTCACAGATCTGGAAAACACAGGACCTGACAGAAACTGTGTCACAGAGGACGATAACTACAGCTGACTTCTAGCCCTCAACTCCCCATTAACCCAGTGGGTCACCTGAAGGCCTGGGAGTTGTGTGGGGACATCTGTCGGGCTCATTTCACCCACCCAGGCCTGCTTCCCCCATGCATAGCTCACCACCCAAAAAGGCGCAGTTAAAGTGGCTGCAGGTCTGATTATAGCTCCAGAGAGTCACTAGGTTCTGAGCTCCATCCTGGGAGAACCTGATGACCGAGAAGACTTCATGGGGGGGAATCAGCACCTCATGCTCCTCAGGAAAGACAGACAGGGCCTGGATAGGGGCCCCAAAGCAAGTCCTTAGAGAGAAGAGGGTGGCATTACCAAATCTGCGGGCCATCGCCTCATCCAGGGAGCTGGAGGCAAACTGGCCAAAGCGGACAGAGTCCCCCAGCCTCCGAGGTTCAAAGCGAAGGCTAAGCACTCCTCGGAACACTATCTCCCCAGGTCCCCTACTGCAGCCTCCACTGCCCTGCAGCAGCTGCAGGGCCCGGGTCAGGTAGAAATGTAGGGCCTTGAAGGGGAAGTGCCTCATGTAGTGCTCCCGAGAGCCACCACCCGTCCTCACGGCCTGGTTCAGCTCCCAGTACAAGGTGTTGGAGGAGTTGGTGTAGACCATAATGGCTATTCCATGCTGGGCTTTGAAGCCGGAGGGCAGAGTGAGCCCTCGTCGCCTGTGCTCCCAGGCCTCCTGGGCTGCCTCCCAGGATTCCCGCAGCAAGGCATGGTGGGCCATCTCCTCCTTTAGCAGGGAGGCTGCCTTCTCCTCCATCTCCTCTGAACAGCCCACATAGGCATCGTCAAAGGTGTCTGGAGCCAGGCCCAGGGGCAGGATGGGAACAGCTTGGGCCTGTGGAGGAAGGAAGAGAGGAGCCACACAGGAAAGGGAGTAAGTTCAGAGCACTGGATGGAGGGCATCTTGGTGGCAAATAAATTCAGAAACACAGAATCTCATTTCTATGCCCAAATATCTGGTATATACAATTTGGCAAAGGTCCAAGAAGAGGCTTAAACAACACAGGCACTGGAGTCAGACAGACATGGGTTCAAATCTTGATTTCACCACCCCCTAGCTATGGGATCTTAGGCAAGTCTCTTAACTTTTCTTGGCTTCGGGTTTTCCATCTATAAATTGAGGATACCTCCAAGCTTGCAGAGTTATTACAAGGATGACATAAAGAGCTTCATTTCTATACAACCTAAAAGGAGTCCACTTATCATTAGAAAGGTTCCTGCACTTGGTGGGAAGTGAGGCTGGATGACTTCCAAGCAGTTTTCCAACTCTAAGATTCAGTATCCAGGTGATATGCAAATACACAGCCATGTCCATGTCCGGTTACCTGATCCCACCCCCTCCGCCCCCAGCCCATCCTCCTCAGATTCTGTCCCTCTCAGCCTTGTGGAGGTCCCTGCAGGTGTTCAGCCACCACACCAAACCATTATCAACTCTGAGACTCCTGAGTTCTTTCTCGCTTTGGAAGCCTTTATCCCCAGACTTAGGGGCTGGGGTGGGGAGGCCAAGCTTGGTCTAGGAGGGGCTGCCAGGCCCAGAGCACACAGGTGGCACAGTGGGGTTTGCCTAGGCTGTGCCTGTCAGGGGAGATGAGAAGTTCAGGGAAAGTTGGAGGCATCCCTAGAGAGGGGTGGTATGAAAGAAGGGGGAGAGGGAATGGGCACTTGGGACTCCCTACAGGGATGGAAGGTCCTGAGAGGAAGAAAATTAAGAGGAGTGGAATTCTAAAGAAGAGTCCCTGGGAGAGAGTTGAGAGAAGTCAGTGCCCCTGTTCAACTGCTCAGAGCCTGCCCCCAACCGCCCCCTTGGGACATGGTTCCTGGAGTTACCTGCCAGAGGGCGTGGAGGCCGAGGCAGCCAAGGGCGATGAGCAGAGCCGCCAGCACCATCCCTGGGGCGGATTTAGGAGGGCCAGATCCGGATGGGGGTGAGACCAGCAGCGGTGGGGTCCTGGCGTCGTCGGGCTCAGACAAAGACTTGGACCCTTTCTCCAGCGGTGTGAGGGGTCCCTGGTCCAGGACTGGGGGCCAGGCGGGGCGTGGGCAGGGCAAAGGGCGGACCTATGGGTGGGCGGGGCCTTGAATTTGATTGTCCCCTGCGCCCCCGCCTCCGCTTCCCAGACTCCCGCAAGCCCCTCCGCTCAGCCCCTCCAGTCTGGGGACCTTTTTGCGACAATAAAGGTGGGGCCATAATTTGGCTCCACCAAATTATGAGATGGGTGGGGGACTGAAGACCCACCTGGAGGCTGCAGAGGCTGCAGGCGGGAAGGAGCGCTGACAGTCCTGGGGGCAGCCACGCTATCCTCGGAGTCCAGCTGACAAACAAAGTCCCCAGCTAACTATAGCCCCCAGCAGTAACCCGACACCTCCCCTCCCAACAGCACACTGTGGGGCTGGGGGGCGTAACTCCGGTTCCCAAGGACTGCGGGTTCTTTCTCAAGGACCTCCTTTGGCTCTGAGCAAGGCCAGGGTCAGGGAGGGAATTTGTGAGACTTGGCCTCTCCCTCAGGGGGACCCTGACACGACTGGACCCCGCCCCTCCCCCACCCCCCTTCCCCCACCCCGAACCGCTAAGCTGGGGAGCCCCGCCAAGGTCCTGACCACCAAAAGGTCATCACTTGGGCAGTCTCTGATTTGCATACATTTGCATACGGCCCACGTGTTGGGGCGCAAGCTCCCTCGCTCCCCTTTACTCCCTCCCGCTCCCCCTTAATCCGGTTGGACCAGAGGCAGAGCCTTCTGGCAGGTCCTCAGGCCCCAGCCCTGCCCCTTCTCCCAGACTCAGGTGACCCCATGTTTATAAACACTAGCCTTTCCCCCCACCTCCTCTGGGCTTGTCTATAAATAACTTGGCTCTGAGTTTTGGATGCCCAACCAGAGGTAATGGGAGAAGAGGCCATCTGAGCGAGCAGCAAGCTGAGCCTGAGCCTGGCAGGGGGGAGGGGAGTGTCGCTCCCGTGCACAGTGCACAGTGCACAGTGGCCAGAGGACTTGGGGGGCCTGAAGGTCAGGATTTAGGAGATGCCTCCAGCTGGGGCCTGGGTAGGCACAGGAGATCGGACTAGGCCAAAGGACTCCTCCTGCTCTGGCTCATTTTATTTACCCTGTCCCCTCATCCCCTCAAGACTGTCGGCCAAATAAAGAGTTTCTTCCACCTGGAACCCTGTTTTCTCCAAAAATCCTTCCTGCAGACCAAACAGGAAGATAAACCGTGTGTCCAGGTTCTGAGGAGGGTGGGAGGGGAAGTGGGAAGAATAGCATCCCCCCAAGGCAGAGTACTAGTTAGGAGAAGGGCTTCAAGACAAGTTATTTTGCCCCTTTCAATGAGACTAGCCACCCCAAAGCCTTCCTAGGTTAGAAAACCAGGAGTCACTCTACTATTCACTGTTATTATGAAAACTGTATTAGTCTATGTATCTTGCCTGGCCCTCTGCCTGGGAGGACCTGAGTGTCTGCAGTTGCTGGAACAGAAGACACTGTCTGGAGACAGCCTGGCCTGCTGGGACAGCCCCTGGCACACGACCTACTGGGATCACTGCTTTGTCCTCTCTGCACCCAAGCCTTGGGGAATTGCTTCTCCCATCCCAGCACCTGAGATCCAAAACAATGTCTCAAGAGATGGAGTCAAATCTGGTCATTGGACAGGGGTCCTGAGTGTGGTGGACAGTCCAAGATAACTTGGCAAGTCAGGGCTGAAGCTGGGACCCAGAACCCAGCCTCCTTAGGTATGAGATTTACTGTTATGAATCAGTGTAAGGGCTATAAGTATCTTCTGGTCCTGGTAGACACTTTTTCAGGATGGGTTGAAGCCTACCCAATCCTTACAGAAAAGGCAACAGAGGTATATAAAGTGTTACTGAAAGAAATCGTACCTTGCTTTGGTCTTCCCCAAGCCTCCAAAGTCATAATGGTCCGGCTTTTACAGCTGAAGTAAGCCAAGGACTATCAAAGCCTTGGGGATAGACTATCCTTTACATACTGCCTGGTGCCCTCAGGTATCAGGTAAGGTTGAAAGGACCAACCGAACTCTAAAAAGAACTTTAGCCAGACTGTCAAGAAACCCAAACTGGGTTCAAAAGCTTCCTATTGCCTTGATCAGAATTCATGTCTCTCCCAAGGAGGCATTAAAGCTTAGCCCTTTTGAAATCTCATATGGCTGGCCGGGCGCGGTGGCTCACGTCTGTAATCCTAGCACTCTGCTGAGGCCCAGGCGGAAGGATTGCTTGAGCTCAGGAGTTTGAGACCAGCCTGAGCAACAACGAGACCCTGTCTCTACTATAAATAGAAAGAAATTAGCCAAACAGCTAAAAATAGAAAAAATTAGCCGGGCATGGTGGTACATGCCTGTAGTCCCAGCTACCCAGGAGGCTGAGGCAGGAGGATTGCTTGAGCCCAGGAGTTTGAGGTTGCTGTGAGCTAGGCTGATGCCACGGCACTCTAGCCCAGGCAACAGTGAGACTCTGTCTCAAAAAAACAGGAAAAAGAGAAAAGAAAAAAGAAATCTCATATGGCTGTCCTTTCCAAGTACACGTCCTTAGAGAAAGCAGTGAAGCTAATTATCTTCTAAAACATATTATAAATTTAGGAGGGTACACCAGGCCATGTTAGACTGTGGGCAATGAGTTATTCCCTCAAAGAAGGGAAAAGTACCTCACCCATCCAATCTGGAGACTGGGTATTACCAAAAGACTGGAAAGAAAGGGGTCTAATTTCAGCTCTAGCTTTTGAAAAAAAAAAAAAAGAAAGAAAGAAAAGGGTCCACTGATTCAGTTAGAGCCACTGTGGACACACCCCAGAAGGTTCTCTTATCCACCCCTCAGGAGTCAAACCGAAGGGGTTTGAGAGCTGGGTACACTTCTCAAGGACCAAACTGGTGGACGCCCAAGACCCAAAGGCCAAGAAAATGTTGACACAACAGATGTACATGAGCATAAGCCAACTGAGGGGCTAAAGCTCCTATTTAAGAAAGTAAAATAATCAGGTCTTATGGGTAATGTCACTACCAATATTGAAAAATCCTTACATATATTGCTTGGCTTCTCTTATATTAGCCCTTGTTGGGAGTCTTCTCATACTCGATATACTGTGCCACGTGGGAAAAATTCCATGTCTGCAAATTTTTATATATATATTTTTTGAGACAGAGTCTCACTTCTGTTGCCCAGGCTAGAGTGCTGTGGTGTCAGCCTAGCTCACAGCAACCTCAAACTCCTGGGCCCAAGCAATCCTCCTGCCTCAACCTCCTGAGTAGCTGGGACTACAGGCATGCACCACCATACCTGGCTAATTTTTTCTATATATTATTAGTTGGCTAATTAATTTCTTTCTATTTTTAGTAGACACGGGCTCTTGCTGTTCCTCAGGCTGGTCTCAAACTCCTGACCTTGAGCGATCCACCCACCTCAGCCTCCCAGAGTGCTAGGATTATAGGCGTGAGCCACCGCACCTGGCCGTCTGTAAATTTTTAAGCACTCATAACCCTATACTATGGTTTTATCCTTAGTTATGCTTCTCTCCTTATTAACAATAATCCTATTCCCTACATTTCCAGCCCCAGGCCTAAGCCTGCACCCCTATTTACGCATGGTGGAGGAGACCCTCTCATTGCTCCAGCAGTCTAAATAGGGCAAAGAAAAATACTCCAACTGTTGGATACGTGCTAGCAGCTCCCTAGAATGGGGGCTTGTTGCCATTCCAGTCCCACCTTCGGAGAGGAATCAGCTAGAATCATATGCAATCCTCTCATATTCCAATTGCCCTGGGTGAGCCATAAACCTGAGGGTCCGACACATGGTAAATAAAATCCTCTTAAGTTCTCTGCATAACAGAGCTAAACTTAACCTCCAAGGAGTCATCTTTTCTTCAGTTACACTTGTGCAACAAGTGCCCTATGTCTCATTAGCTCTGCTCACTCTGGGCCCTCTGCGGGAGGCTTTCACAACCATTCACAAGCTTGCAGCCACACCTTTCGTCTATCCACCCACTGTGCCGAGCCACAGGACGGGAATCTGTCGACACTGCCCCTTTTTAGACTCTTTCCCTTCCTAAGGCCAACAATATCACCACTGACTGGGCTACAACAAGCCATTCAGGAACCAGTGTCTGTCCCCCACCTCCTAGTTCATACCCCTTTAACTGGCATAATTTTGGGTTCCAATTCCATAATATTAATAGAAATGGCTGCAAGAAGCTAGATGATGGGAATCAGGGCCAAAATATAGAATAGAATCCTACAATTCCCTCCCTCAGCTCTCCTCCACTTGTGGGGGTTGACCCGTTCCTTCTCTGGAATGTACTATGCTTTAATAAACTTTGGCACTTTGCTTGCTTGCAAAAAAAAAAAAAAATTCCCTCCTTCAATTGGGCATATAACAGATCCAGAATCCCACCTAACACCGCTTGTCTACCCCCGTTGGCTGGAATAACTATAGCTTCTACTTATGAAAGTGTAGAATGGTCTAATAAGTCTGTAGCCACCTTGGAAAATCTTATTTTAATATATCCATAGGTATCTGTCTCAATCCACAAAATCAGACTTACTCTCTCTGTGGCTCAAATGCTTATCATGTCTCCCAGCAAACTGGACAGGAACATGCACTTTAGTAAATATAATTCCCAATTTGACCCTTATTACCAATTCAATCCCACTCCCCTATCCATCTCCAATTACAGAACCAAACGTGGGGTAGTGATGATCTTGGCAGTCCTGGGGAGCATTATAGGAATCGGGACCGAAACTGGGGTCTCCTGAATTTAATCTTTGCAGCTCAAAGGCTCTCACTGGAGGTCAATTAGTCACAGACCTGGCAGTACAAATTAACACCCTTCAGGAACAAATCACTTCTAGAGCAGGGGTTGTGTTACAAAACAGAAGAGCTATAGACCTGCTTACAGCTAACCAAAGAGGCATATGTGCCTTCTTAGGTGAAGATTGTTATTTCTTTGTCAATCAACCTGGAAAAGTACAAACTAATTTACAGAATATTTTTAAGAAGGTTAACAACTTTCAGGAACAAGGAAATTCTGGGGATTCAACTGGTGGAATTTTGTATAGTTCTGGTTTTCTTGGCCAACACTTCTTCTAGGATCTCTGGCAGCCTTACCGCTATTGTTCATTTTTGGGCCTTGCCTATTTGACATCTTGGTCAAGTTTGTCTCTTCTAGGTTATATCAGTTCTGTTACAAAGCCATGATGATCCGTGGGGTCCAGTCTCTGCCTACTGGGGAAACTGAGGCTCTCCCAGTAAATGCTTTGGACCTCCATGCCTCCACTTTCAGATCTCAGGAGCAGAATGTGTAGGGCACAGGTTCAGAAGAAAGACAAGAGGAGGACCCTAGGGATGAAACCCCTTTTAAGCAGGAAGCAGTTATAGAAGTCTGACCATCTGTCCCTTTTGCCTGAAAGAATTCAGGCCCATTTATCTCTCAGGAGGGAATGTTTGGGACAGGGGCAGGTTGACAGTATTAACCACAGGAAGAAAGGAGGGGAGCAAAAATGAGGAGGCCAATGAGCATTTAGAACCTAACCTGCAATGACAACAACTTGCAGTTAGGGACTTTTCCTGGCCAGGAGGATTACAGAACCTAGAAGCTCATGTCCAAAGGAGACCCTTTCCCCATTAACATACATTAGCATAGTAAAAATCACACCCCCAGCACCATGACAGTGTACCACCTCTGGAAATTACCCTATATGGATAAAGTTGGGGAGGGCCCTTAGCTCTAAGAACTCTTCATGCTTTCCCTAGGAAAACAGTAAGTATTCTTCCACCCACCTTTAAGCATATTATAAGGTGCAGACATAGCAACAGAGGTGTGGTAAGACCCCAGGGCTGCTTCCCCCTCAGGAAGCGTCCTTTTGCTTTCTGTTTCTGTGCTTAAAAAGCCTGCAATAAAAGCTGCTTGTGTGGAAGTGTTAAGTGTCTGCCATCACTGGCTGGCACCTGCCCTGCTTGGTATTAAGCTAGGAGCCAAAGAACCAAGACAACACCCTTCTAAAATCAACCCTGACAAGAGATGGAGTCAAACCCAGTCACTGGCCAGGGGTCCTGAGTGTGGCAGACAGTCCTCCAAGATAATTTTGTAAGTCAGGGCTGGAGCTGGGACCCAGAACTCAGCCTCCGTAGGTGAGTCCCAATGTTCCCATGAAAGGAATACAAGGTAGGGAGATGCTCCCTGAGGCCAGGGGCCCTAAAGCCTCTCTTCCTCCCCGCTGGCTGATGGGTGATGGGCGGGCAGACTCAGATCCAGCAAGGAGGCAGCTGCCCCAGCCTGGATCCACGGTGCCTCAGCCCACTGTCTCTGGCTTCGGGGATTCCGTTTGTTATGGGAAGAACACTGGCCCAGGTCGGACTGGGCAGAGGCCAGTGTTCCTGAGCCTTGAAGAGATGTCCAGAAATAGATGGGGTGGGGAGTCACATTTCTGAGCAGCTGTGCAGGGGAGGCACATGGGGTGGGGACTGACAGTGTGAAAGACAGAGCTGGCCTGCCACTCCCCAGGTGACCACTGCGGAGATCCACACCAGCCTCCCAACCCTTGACGAGGCCTAGGTAAGGAGCACACCACCCTCCTCCCGACGCCAGGCAGGAAAAGGGTGAAATTGGGGGAATTAGTGGTGGAGTTTTAGCAGTCATGAGAAAAAGTTTCAGGGAAACTTTGATGGAGAGGTTTGGGGATATCTAGGGTTTGGGGCCACTAGGAAGTTTGGGATTCTTGGGGAGAGATTTGGGGTCATATGCAGAGAAGGGAATGTTCGAAAACCTGGATGAGGGGAAACTGACAAGAGAATTGCTCTGAGCAGGACGAGAGGAAGGACAGAAGGGCAGCCCCTGTGGGCTGTGCAAGGGATTGGCCGGTGTCTCCGCTCCCTCACCCCACACCCACCCGTCACTCTGGCCCCCAATCCCCTGACACTGCTCACCACGGTCAGCAATCCACCTGCTCTGCAGTGGTCTACATAGCTAGCTGTGCTCAGCATTCTAGGGGCCTCCCCTGTGCCTGGCCTGGGGGCAAGCCCTGGGGACACAGAATGGCTCATACTTGGTCCCTGCCCTCAAGGAACTCATGGGCCAGAAGGGGAGACAGGCACACAAAAGGGCAGCACAGTGTGACAAGGACAGTGACAGAGGACAGCACAGGGTGATGTGGGAGCCCAGAGGACTCAGGGAGCTTCCTGGAGATGACCTTGAACTAAGCCCTGAAGAGTGGGTGGCCAGGAGAAGGGCATCCCAGGGTCAAGGTATGCAGAATCACAGGGAGGGAAGCAAGGGAGCCCCGCTCCCTTGGAACTTCATTCTGTGCTGCAGAAGCCAGGCAGGGATGGCGGCACCCCTGAAGGCTGAAGGGCTCATGGAGGTGGGTCACAGGGGGCCTTGAGGGCCAGAATAAGGACATTGGACTCTGTCCTAGGGGTATGTATGGATGTTTTGTTTTGGTTTTGATTCTTTGCAATTTTTTTTCCTAGATGTGTTCGTATCTCTTCCTTTGTAATTGTCATCTGTTGAGTTTTCACTCTGTGTTTTGAGATATTTCTTCCAGTCAGTTTTGGCACAGAGGGCTTTTAAACAGGGAAGGAACGTGATAGAAACACTGTTCTTCTTGCTCCCTGGCAGGTGGGTTAGCAGGGGTGACAGTGGGGGTGGGGAGATTGGCGAGGAGACAGGTGTACACCCGAGCAGGGGAAAGGGCTGTGGGAGGGGGAAAGGGAAGGGGAATCCCAGCCCCGTGTAGGGCCCAGCCTTAGTTAGCAAATGTGTGAATATGAGAATGGTTGAATGAATGGATACCCAGGTGACCATCATGAATGACTGGGTGAATAATTAGGATGGCATATCACATGATGGCAAGCTAACAGAAATCATCCTGAGCTAGATAAAGCCTAATGAGGAATTTATCACAAGGATACCAGGGTATCTCACAGAGCCTGAGGGCCAGAAGCAACCAGCCTCTAGGAACTGAGAAGCTCCGCTCTGCCTGAGCTCTGGTTTTATCCCTCCAGCTTTTCAACCCTCTCTTTCCTCTCTCCCTGGGGACCTCATCCCTTCCCTGACTTTAATACACTTATAGCTTGCAAATGTCTCTTCTTATTGTCCATTCTGCCACCTCTTGGACATCTGTACCCAGAGAGTTCACATTTTCCAAACTGAACTCACCATTTCCCCTCCTCTCCAAACCTAATCATTCACTCAATATATTTTTTGAGCACCTACTTTGTACTGGTACTATAATAATAAATATATATGCATGTACACACATGTGCATACATGTATGTACAAAATAGCTCTGGAAAAATACATTTAAAAATGATAGGGCTGGGTGCAGTGGCTCACTCTGCAATTCTAGCATTCTGGGAGGCCGAGGCAGGAGGATTGCTTGAGCTCAGGAGTTTGAGAGCAGCTTGAGCAAGAGCAAGACCCTGTCTCTAAAAAAAATAGAAAATTCAACCGGATATAGTAGTGCTACTGCAGTCCCAGCTACTCAGGACAGGAGGAGGCAGGAGGATTGCTTAAGCCCAGCAGTTTGAGGTTGCAGTGAGCTATGGTGATACCACTGCACTCTAGCCAGGGTAGCAGAATGAGACTCCATCTCAAAAAAAAAAAAGAAAGAAGACAAAAAATCAAAATAAAAACAAGGGACACAGGGCGACTTTGGGAGGTGATGAATATGTTTATTACCTTGATTGTGGTGATACTAACATAAGTGTATACATATTTCCAAACTCATCAAATTATGTATAGTATATGCAGTTTCTTGTATGCCAATTATACTTCAATGAAGCTGAAAAAAGAAAAAGGAAGAAAAGCTGTGCTGGGAGAGGGATACTCTGGAGTACTTTAAGAATGAGGAAAGATGATGGGAAATAAGAAAGGAGCTTCAACTTTAAAAAAAAAACAAAACTTCTCTTCAATTCTCTTCTGTGTTTCCATCTTAAAGGATGGGAACCTGGCTGTCATTCTTGATTCTTCCTTCTCACCTCTTTCTAGCCCAAAAGACACCGAGTTTAGTGAATTCTACCTTGTAACTCTGGGTCCCTCCTCACTGCCCTTTCCTTAGTCAGTCCACACGATTCACTGTCCCCAGTCTAACCTCACAGTTCTCTTCCCTACTCCAAGCCTCTGATCTCTCTCTTTTACTGCAGGGCATATGGGAGCAGAAACATGGCAGGGAAGGGTACGGTTGGCCCAGTGAGCTCTTGTTGTGTGCCAGAAAATCTCAGCGGTATACAAATATTTATTCTCATGTCCCTGGGTCTTTGGATTGGCTGTCAGTTATCTAATGTCAACTGGACTTGGTGGGCAGCTCTGCTTCTGGCTGTCAGTCTGGCTCAGGCCTGTCCCTCATGTGTTCATTCTGGGGACCAGGATGCAGGAGCAGCTTCCAAAGAAAAGATTGGATTGAGTTCCAATCTCTTGGATTGAGTTCCAAGGGCTTGGGGGTACAATGAGCTTCCTTGTAAGGTGGTCCAAGGAAATGTAAGTGAAGGAGTGGCAGAGTTAGAGAAAAGAAAAAAGCCAATAAAAAGTGTGTTACAGAGCATGTAACCACTGTGGTCATCTGGGGCTTAGTCCTACTGAGGACCCTCTGTGGGACAGAGAATCTGACTTCCATCCCTCATTGGTCGAAGGCTATCCTTGGGAACATTAAATCCCCTGCACTTTTGGGCTGCCCTGTGCTGGCAACAAGCAGGCTCCCAGGGTGATGGAGAAAGCCTCCGACACAGAAGCATGGGCAGCACTAGAAGTGGGAAGCTGGCAGCCTGCATGAGAACCACTCACTGCATGTGGACTCGAAGGTGGGCTCAGGGGATATGGATTGAGGAACCAGTGGTGTCAGGTACGCTCTGTCTCACCCTGCATCCGTGTATCACATCTCAGCGAAGGCTCTGATTAGCCTTGCTTGGGTCATGTGCTCACCCCCAGCGTGCACAGAGTGGGGAAAGCCCCACCTGAACCCATAGACTGGATTCTCCACAGGAGAGCAAGGATCTAGTTATAGCAGCTCAGGCTTCTTTGGTGGATTCCAAGAGATTACAGAGAAGAGTTCAATCAGTGCTTTGCTGCCACATATTCTGCCCAGTTAGTGTTCCATCCTGGAATGGGTAGGGGTGTCTCATGCTTTACATCCCATTGTGGTGCCATTTTCATTTCTATACACTGTGTGCTTCCTCTGGTTAGCTCGTCATTTAGATGCCACTCCTGCCACAAATCTGTTTTAGCTAGGCTCTTTTGGTTCCTTTTGTAACATGTATCACACACTGCTTCAAATTGCACACTCAAGGCCATCTCCACTTCAAAAGAGCTTAAAGAACTAGGGATGTGGATTTTGTTGCTGTTGTTCCTAATTTTATCTTTAGCGACTGACAAACTAAGATGCTGAACAACAACAAAACTGTGGAATGAATGAATAAGTGGGTTTTGAGGGAGAGAAGATAATGAGTCTAGTTTTGGACATACTGAATTTGGTAAAAACTACTGCTAACCCCAGCGCCAGTGCCCAGAGAAGCTCATACCTTAAATTTAAGTTGTATATTGGCAATTATAGGATCTTATATTTGAAGACTGATAAAATTATAGACCCACAGAGTCCCTGTGTCTTAGAGTCACTGAACTATCAAAACTGAGGTCCCCCTAGAGCCAGAGGGGATGACAGAGCAGGGATGCTTAACCTAAATGAGGTTGGGGGCAGAGGCATAACCACCTGAAATCTATATAACATTTGCATAACGGTGCATATGTTCGTTTTCTGAAGGGAGGTTTCAGCTTTCATTAGATTCTAAAAGATAAAGAAGGACTGACTATTATCATTTCTGTAAAAGAAAAAAAAAACCACAAACACCTGTGAATTTGCTTTTTTTTTTTTTTTTTTTTTTTTTGAGACAGAGTCTCACTTTGTTGCCCAGGCTAGAGTGAGTGCCGTGGCGTCAGCCTGGCTCACAGCAACCTCAATCTCCGGGGCTCAGCGATCCTACTGCCTCAGCCTCCCAAGTAGCTGGGACTACAGGCATGCGCCACCATGCCCGGCTAATTTTTTGTATATATATTTTTAGTTGGTCAATTAATTTATTTCTATTTTTGGTAGAGACGGGGTCTCGCTCAGGCTGGTTTCGAACTCCTGACCTTGAGCAATCCGCCCGCCTCAGCCTCCCAAAGTGCTAGGATTACAGGCGTGAGCCACCACGCCCGGCCTGAATTTGCTTTTATATGCATAGATTTGGGAGGATATGTAAGAAAATAAGCACTTGTCACCTCTGAAAACATGAGGTTGGGGTTGGGGAACTGCCTTTCACTGTATGCCTCGTGGGCCATTTAAATTTTGAGTAATGAAAATGTACTGCCTTTTTGAAAGTTAAAATTTAAAGTTATGATGGATCCTGTTCTGAAACAGAGATGTAAATTAAAAAGTAGATGCCATTTGTACCCACCAGTTAAATAAAAATTTAAAAGAGATCAATAATATTCAACATGAGCAAAGATGTGAAGAAAAGCGTACTTCCATTCATTGCTGGTGGGAGGGAAAACTAGTACCGCTTAGATTGGCAGTTTGGCAGTGTCTATCAAAATAAAAAATATTCATATCCTTTAAATCTCATTTTACTTCTTGAAAATCTTTCTATAGAAATATGTACATAACTAGAAAAGAATTTATATATATGAGTATTCACTGTAGTAGTAATATAACATTTAGAAATTAGGGAAAAACCTAAATGTGAATCTGTTCTGAAATGGTTAAATAATAGCTTAATTATATCATGAAATATACCATGCTGCTATTATAACGAATGAGGTAGATATCTACCTACTGACACAGAAGGAAGTTCATGATATATTGTTACTTGGGGAAGACAGGTTACAGAATGTGTATGTGTAAGCAGGCTTCCTTTTTCTCTTTGAAAAAAAATGACAATAAAAACCAAAACAGGCTGCATACCTGAAGCTATGTGTCTAAATGTACATTTAAATGTTATATTATTTGTATATGCTTAGAAAAAGGTCCCAAAGGACAAGGCTATCATAGGTCAGCACCCCCCCTCCCACTGGCTGGTGTGGGTGTGAGAGTGGGGAGGGGATATGGAGAAGACAAAGACGACAGGGGACTTGGACTTTGTGATCCGTACACTCTTCCTGCCCCACAACAAGCAAGCATTACGTTGTAATAAAAATAAATGATCCTAGCACTGTCCAGAGCAAAATAAAGAAAAAAATAAATAAAAAAAAAATAAATAAATAAAAATAAACGGGAGGTGGGAGAGGAGCAACAGTAGCAGGAATAGTGCTGACTTAGAAACCGTCTGTTCCAATCCTGACCCTGACCCGATGCCTGGACACCTCCCTGGAGCCACTTCAGACCTCGGTGTGGCTATCCACGGGGTACAGGACGCTTATGGTTCCCTCCGCTTCCCTTGAGGAAGCAGGTGACATCTGTACTCTCCCCTATTCCCTCTTTCCCCGGAACCCTGGGAGTGTTTTGTTTTGAGACAGAGATCCTCTCCTCAGCCTCCTGAGTAGAGGGGTTTATATCTGTCCCTCCCTAGAAGCAGTCGAGGGCTTGAAGAGGTCTCATCCACAACAGGACCGCAGGGAGAGAGGGGAACCTCCAGATCCCAGGCCCTGCTCCAAGACTGTCCCCGGAGTCCTACTATGGCTGCTCCAGCTGACTACTCCTGGATCTGCCCCTGTGCTGCCCCCCCCCCCGCCCCCATGAAGTGGAGCCCAGACCTCTCACTGTGGCAGTCTCTTCACGACTGGCCCAGTCCTGCGAGCTCTGCCAGACCAGATGACAGTCTTTCCCTCTCTACATCTGCAGAGTTCCTACCTCTAGTACCTTTGCTTTCTCCATTTCTGCTGCCCCAAAACTCCTTTCCCATCCCAAACCCCTATCTTGCACTCTCCCACTCTCCACCTGCTGACCTTTTATACTCCTATTCATCCTGCGAGATCCCGTTCATGTGTCACCTCCTCCAGTAAGTACCCCATGTTCTCTCCAGTAAGAAGGGTCCTCTCTCTCTCTTCTGAGCCTCCATATCTATTTTGTGACTCTGCTGGGAATGGTGCAGACAAGTGTCAATTAATTTTTATGAAACTATACAGATTAACATTGCAATTTTCCAGATGAGGAAACTGAGACCCAAAGAGAGACAGCAACTGGCCCAGGGTCACCTCCAACATGCAGATGCCTGCCATGATGTCTCTGCTACTTGCAGCCGTGGGCCTCATGGAAGCACTTCAGGTATGGTCATCTTCCACTGCCTCCGTCCTTGCAGGGAGCTGAGCTATTGGCTTCTTCTGAACTCTAGAGGGAGGAAAGGATGCCTGATACTTCCACTGGGGATCGCTCAGCCCTGGGGGACAGCCCCAGACACTGGTCTTGGAGAACTTGCAGCCAGTTGTTCCCAATCCCCCTCCCCCGCAGGTCTGTTTGAGGCCCTTAGTGCCTTTCTCAGCAGTTCAAGTCCCCCTTAGTGGAGGGGAGAGCTGGGTGGCAGGGTCACATTCTCCCAAGGTCCATCCTCTCAGTCCTTGCCGCTCCTGTCCCCTCAGGCCCAAAGCCACCCCATCCAACGCCGAGACCTCTTCTCTCAAGAACTGCCCCTGGACATGGCCCTGGCCTCCTTTGATGACCAGTACGCTGGCTGTGCCGTAGCCATGATGGCTGCTCTACCAGATCTCAACCACACAGAGTTCCAGACCAACAAAGTGTATGCAGATGGCTGGGCGCTGGCAAGCAGCCAATGGCAGGAGCGCCGGGCCTGGGGGCCAGAGTGGAACCTCAGCCCTACACGTCTGCCCCCGCCACCCCCGGGCTTCCGCGATGAGCATGGGGTGGCCCTCCTGGCCTACACAGCCAACAGCCCGCTGCACAAGGAGTTCAACGCAGCTGTGCGTGAGGCAGGCCGGTCGCGGAACTACTACCTCCAGCACTTCTCCTTCAAGACACTCCATTTCCTGCTGACGGAGGCTTTACAGCTGCTGAGCAGCAGCCAGCGTCTGCCCCAATGCCGCCAGGTGTTCCGAGGGGTGCATGGCCTGCGCTTCCGGCCAGCGGGGCCTGGAGCCACCGTGAGACTGGGGGGTTTTGCCTCTGCGTCCTTGCAGAATGTTGCAGCCCAGAATTTTGGGAAGGACACCTTCTTTGGCATCTGGACCTGCCTTGGGGCCCCTATCAAGGCCTATTCCTTATTCCCTGGAGAGGAAGAGGTGCTGATCCCCCCATTTGAGACCTTCCAGGTGATCAATGCCAGCAGACCAGCCCAGGGCCCCGCCCGCATCTACCTCCGGGCCCTGGGCAAGCGCAGCACATACAACTGCGAGTACATCAAAGGTGAGAAGGGCTCTCACGGGTCAGCACCTGAGCAGGTGGGCTTCCCCCATCCACGAAGGCCTCTGATAAACCCAAGCTCCCATTCCCTGGGGTCAAGGCATGCACACATAAACACCACTAGCTGGAGAGGAGGACCCAGTCATGTCCACCAGCCCCAACCCTTCCATCTGAAGGGAGACACGACCCTCTGAAGGTATCTAAGCCAAAGCTGGGGCTCAAGACGGTTTCCTGATCAAGGCAATGGCCGTTTTAGGGGACAAGGAGCCCTGAGTAGACTTTTCTCCTGGCTGGAAGCTGAAATGGAATTGTTTTCCAGCCAGAGTATTGACACCTAAACCGCTTTTGCCAGAAGTGAGTATGAGCCCCAACCTGAGTTTCCGAGAAGAGTGCATTTATTAGATGGAATAGGAATCATGCGCTGTGGTGTGTGCTGGGCAAAGGTGGCAGGGGTAGTGAGACAGCAGCCGGGTGCTGTGCCCCTAAGGCCCGGCTCAGGCTGTGGTCAGGCAGGTGTTCATGTGGCTTCAGTTTCCACTGTGGACAAGATCAGGACTGTGTGTGAATTGAGGGAAGATGAGGAAGACATGCAAAGAACACAAACCAGCCCCTCCTTGGCTGGGACAAGGCATGGAAGAAGAAGAGGTGGGTGTGGAAAAAAAGGCAAAGTGACAGGCCAAGGGAGCAGGAGTCCCCAGAACAGATCCTGGCTTTGATGGCCGGCTCCCTGCTCACGGTCAAGTCAAACCTAGTCAAGGGAGGTCCCAGCATCAGGGAACAGAATTAGGGGAAAATGCACCAGTTTTTGTTAACAAGTCGGGGCTGGACCACCAGGACTCTGAGGTTCCTTCTTGTCTGGAGAACTGAGGCTTGAGAATTCTTTACTGTTTCTTTCCTACAGACAAGAAGTGTAAGTCTGGACCCTGCCATCTGGATAATTCAGGTAAGGGCTGCAAACAGCTGTGGGACTCAGCTAGGGGATGAACAGGTTGTCCTGGGGTTGGGCCCTCACCTGGATTTCCCTCCTATAAGAAAAACCTCCTTAATCAAACAAAGTCAACTCTCTGTCCCTGACCTGGGTAAAGTGACATCTGGTTGGTGATGCCCATCTCATATCAGCCAGGGACAAGGCACCCCCTTGTTTATCCCAGCTTGGTTCATGCCTTGGACACATGGATTGCTGTGGGACATGGGGGAACTCTCTTAATCAGGCACCTATAGGGGTTGCTAACCTTGCCCTGAGATGTATACGTGGTAGGGGTGCTGGTTAGGGGAGCAGAGACAGCTACTCTCCAGCCTGAGTCTGCCCCGCCCTTACAGGAGAAGACCACTGATCAGGAGTCAGGCTGCTCCCCACAAGGTCCTCCCTTCAACCCTCCTCCTTCAGTGACAGAGCCCACTGTCTCCGTTGCTGCCCTCAGGACTCCCTTGGACCCACCTTTGAAGGCTGAGGCCAGGCCTTGGGTGCTGGAGGCCTGGGCTCTAGTACAAGCTCTGCACTAACCTCTAACCAACTCATCTTTCTCTGGGCCTCAGTTTCCCTATATGTATCATAAGAAAATCAGACCAGATGATCCCCAGGTCCCTCTCATCTGTGACTTTTCTTTTCCCTTAAGTACCTATTCTGCCAAGGCCTACCTGGGCCACCACTTCTCACAGTGGGAATAAGCTTCCAGGGAAGAAACAGCAGCTCCTCGCCAAGCCTTGGTCTCTCCTCTCTCCTCAGGCCTCTGGGGATGGTGGGCAGGAAGGGTCCTGGCCTAGGCTTTGTTCCCGTCATTCTCCCTGGCATAGTAACACTCAGTGTTCTGTGCACACCATCCCACTAATCCTCACCACACTCCAGTGGCGGAGATACCATCATCACCCTGGTCTACAGATGACAGAACTAAGGCACAAAGAGGAGAAGCAAGCAGCCCTGTGCTATGCAGCTGGTAAGGGGTGGAGTCCAGACAGCCTGGCTCTACAGCCACACTCTGAAGCACACAGCAGGATGGCGCCCAGCACTCCCCAGACAGCATCTCATGCATCTTTCCATATAGTCATGTGTAGTATCTATATCTCGCTAAATAGTAAAGTGAGACCCTGAGACAGAAGTGACTTGCCCAAGGTGACAAAGTGAGTTAGTGGCAGAGCCAGGACCAGAAGCCAGGTCTCTAACCATCTTCTTTGAGTTCTGATGATGCAATTTTAGGCACTGGAAAAGTTTAGATTTCCGCCCAGTTGCCCTGGCACCTCCCCTTCTGGTGTTGGGGCAGAGGAGTCAAGTTCAGCATGACCAGATCCTGCTTGGATCTCTGCTCCCTGCTCCATCCCACCCTGCAATGCCTCATTTGAGTCAACAGAAGGCAAGGGGTCACACCCAATGATCTCTGGAAGGGGCATTATGACTCTCATTGGTCTCCTCAATTCTGTCTACCTTTCTCCCTAAATTCTTTATTTTTTAAAGGCAGTCAAAATTTAGTAGCATGTGGCGGGGGTCATATACCAACTTTAGTGACACTAACATTAGTAAGTTCTGATAACCCACTGCCATGGGGCAGCCCCTCCCTGAATTCTTGGTCTCTATCTCTGTCGACTGTCACAGTTTGTATATCAGTCTTTCCAGCTCACTCTGCCATCTCTCCATTTTGTATCTTCATATCCTCGCTTTGCTCTTAAATCAGTCTCTCTCTCTCTCTCTCTCTCTTTCTCTTTCTTTTTGCCTTATAGCTATGGGTCAGGGCCCCCTCTCTGCAGTCTGGCCCCTACTGCTGCTGCTCTGGTTCCTTGGGTGAGGGCCTTTCCAGAGAGTCCAGGCCTCCTCTAACCCATCAGACACCAAACAGCTCTGCCTGCTGCTGCCCACCCTGAGGATGCCATGGCCACATGTGTGCTTTACGTGTTGCCAAGATGCCTGGTAAACCTTCTTGCATGGAACTCTGGGACATTCTCTGGCAGCTGCCAGATCTGCTATGGAGAAACAGGAAAGAATTTGGGGACTGAACCTTATCCTCTGAATAGAGGTAAAGGGACTCCAGGACAGGCAGCAACTCACTCAAAGATAGAAGGGACTTCAGCTCATTTGGGGGGTGATGGGAGAAGAAAGCTCTTGGCCATGGTACTTGCTGGTGTTACTTAAATGTCTCATATGTCCACCTGGAAAATTCCTATTCACTCCTCTAGGAAGCCTTCTCGACCTCCCCCATTAGGGGCCCTGCCTTTGTGCTCCCATGGGTCCCTAGATGCTTCCATGGATCACGTGTCTGTATCTATCTGCCACATTGGACTGTGAGCTTCCTGAGGGCAGAGACTGTGTCTCAAGCACAGAGGTGGTGCCAGGAAATGTGTGAAAGTCAGAAAGGAACAAATAGCTGGGAACGGCTAGTCCCTGTACTGCCGAACCTTGGATGCTGTCAAGCTCCAAATGTCTGCATGCGGGAATGGGGTGGACTGTACCTAACTCCAGAGCACAGAGAGCAGGAGAGATGGAAGAGAGAGCTCTGGGCCCTCTGCCAGGGTCTCAGCCAAATCCCACTCATTTTCTTTTCTTTTTTTTTGAGCCAGAGTCTCACTCTGTTGCCTGGGCTAGAGTGCCATGGTACCAGCCTAGCTCACAGCAACCTCAAACTCCTGGGCTCAAGTGATCCTCCTGCCTCAGCCTCCCTAGTAGCTGGGACTACAGGTATGCGCCACCATGCCTGGCTAATTTTTTCCATATATATTTTTAGTTGTCCAGATAATTTCTTTCTAATTTTGGTAGAGACGGGGTCTCGCTCCTGCTCAGGCTAGTCTCGAACTCCTGACCTTGAAGCGATCCTCCTGCCTGGGCCTCCCAGAGTGCTAGGATTACAGGTGTGAGCGACCGCACCCGGCCTCACTCCTTTTTTTTGTCATCAAAGATATAACTTCTGCTCTAATCCACGAGTCCTGAGGTTCTTCTCTCTAGAGAGACTGAACTGGGTCCCCAACTTTCACCACCAGGGGGCCCAAGGGTAAGACAGTACACAGAGAGGCTGCTAGGCACACACTTACTTTATTATGAGCTCGGGCTTTTGGGCTGAATGTCTGTACAGCGTCCTGCTCTGGAAACTAGACCAAGACTATCCCCCTTCCTGAGCCCCTAAGCAGAGACAGGCAAGACTACAACAGCAGCTACTGAGGGAGGCAAATAGAGAATTAGATAGTTCTGTTTCTTATATAATAATCCACACTCTCCCCACTAATAGCTCCAACACCCAGCATGGACATTTAAATCCATCCTGCCAAAACTGTACTTTGATCTTGACCTTTTCAGAGTTGCTCCTCTGGAATTAGGGGAGTGGCAGGCTCTGTAATACCCTTAGTTAGGGTACGTAGACAGTGAGTGCTCCCTCATGGATAGTGAAGTCAGTAGCTCTGGTCCTGAAGGGAGGGTATCCCAGGCTCTTAGGAGCAATGGGGAGAGACTGGCTGGCCTATGAGAGGCCAACCACCTAGCCTTGGCCATCCCTGTCTGGAGGTGCCGTGGCTGCAGCAGATCCCTGGACCCAGCCCCAGCCCTCACAGGGCTTGCACCAGCACCAGGAGGCTCATGACCAGGGCCATGAAGAAGAAGATGCCCAGGAAGAAACGGTCCATCACACGGGCCAGGCGCTTCCAGTCCTCGTGGCGGCGCTGGGCAGCCCGGTGGCTGCGGAAGGTGTTGGCAATGGTGGATACATGGTGCAGTAAGGCTTCCTGGCGGCACAGACACTGTGGCTCATGGCAAGGGCCTGCCTGTGGCCCAGCTGCCCCCTCAGGAGGCTGGGGACTAGGCGATGACTCAGATGGCTTGTGCTGCCCACAGGGCTCCCCTCTTTCCCGCACACACAGGCCCCGTGCCAGGTGTCCCAGCAGGAGGGCCCGAGCCCAAGCTGGCACTGGGCGGGCACTGGGACCACAGTAATGTAGGTTCATGATTAGGATGGTGAGTGCCGTGGAGAACGTGACCATGGTCATAGTGGCCATGTAGTACTTCCCTGCAAGAGAGAGAGCCAATTGGGCCCAAAAAAAGAACTTATGGGTCCTGAGCTTCCCAGCCACCTCTGCACAAATGGGACCAAGCCCACCTTGAGGCACTCAGGACCCTCCAAGCCCAACGGAGGGAGCAGGAAGGAGGTAAGGGCCAAGTTCTCCCCATCTCTCATTCCTACAAGTGGGTTGTCAGAAGCTATCTGCTCCCTAATTGTTGCCATGACCGCTGGAGGTTGCACTCACACACAACCCATGAAGTCATGCTCCCAAAGAGTTACAGGCATGGTCTGACTCAAGATACGGATCCTTTCTGTACAACTGGGATAACAAGAGAACCTATCTCATAGGTTCGTGGTGATGTTTACTTGAGTTAATATCAAACGCTTGGGGGAGTGCCTGGCACACAGCGAGCACTCAATATGTTTTGCTTATTATGATCTGTGGACGGCGACGCTTCCCCATCAAGGTCTTGAGAAAAGACCAACTTCTTCCCGGCCCTAGATGCGAGAGCTGTTATCCCTCGAAGGGGCCTTCTCTTTTCCCCTCAATCTCAAAATGAGGCCATGCTCCCATGTACCGCCTCTCACGCACTGAAGCAGGACCCCTCTGCTGACTCCGGCGCTGTCCCGGCTCCCCGCCCCTGCACTGGTGGACACCCACGCGCATCACCCCGGGAGGGCACAGGCTGTCCCCACGCCCGGCCGGCTCACCGATTAGCGGCACGCTCTCGGCAGGCGGCATGCTCTCGGCCAGGAGCAGCTGGAACACGGTGAGCGCCAGCAGCACGGTGACGCCGAGCGACACCTTCTCGCCGGAGTCTGCGGGCAGGTGGAAGGCGAGCGGCGCGAGCAGCGAGATGAGCACGCAGGGCAGCAGCAGGTTGCACACGTAGGCGGCGGCGCGGCGGCGCAGCAGCAGCGTGAAGGTCACGTCGGGGTAGGGCTCGGAGCAGCAGCCGTAAGTGAGCACGCGCCGCCGCGCCGGCATGCCCAGCACGCGCCACTCCACGTTCTCCACGAAGTCGGCCAGGCTGGCGGCGGCGCCGCGCGGCCGCACGTCCAGCTGGTGCCCGCCGTGCGTCCACGAACCGAACGTCAGGCCGCAGCGCTGCGCGTCGAACGGGAAGGCAGACACGTCCACGCGGCACGAGCTGCGCGTGATGGCCGGCGCGTCCCAGCGTACGGCGCCGTCGTGCCGCACCACCACGTTAGTGCTGGCCGAGGCCGGCGGCTGCGCGTCCGCCCTGCAGGCAGAGCTCTCTGAGGCCGCCGTGGCCGGCCCAAGGAGCTGCCCCGGAGCCCCGGTGGCCAGAACCAAGCCCCTGAAGGGGCTCTGTGACTAGATCCGCGCTAAGGCTACAAAGCCGCTAGGGGGAGCACTGAGGGTGGACTGTGCCCAGAGAAGGCCCTCTACCTTTGGAGGCCTAGAAGGGGTGGCGCCTGAAGGGCCCAGAAGGGACACAGATCTAGCCCCGGGCAGTGTAAAAATTCCCCTGCAGAACCTGGAGGTAGCTCTGGGCCACCTAGTGTCTTCCCTTGGAAGTCATCTGTAAAACTCGTGGAGGGGCCTCAGGGAAAGTGTGCAGAGCATGTGTTGGCTGGGGGATACAGAACTGGTCAAAGAGACATTGGGGGAAAAAAATGCTCCAGAGGGCTAAGCCTTGGAGGAAAGAGACCCTTAGGCGCTTGGGGAGCCCTGAGAGACACAGAGCTGGCCTGGATGGGTGGAGTATGCCATAGAGCGGCACTTGTGTCCCAGACACCTCTCTTGGAGAGACACAGAACTGGCCCTGGACCACCCAGGGATTCCCAAGAGACATTAGGCTGGTTTGGCCTGGTGCAGCCTAAAGTGGGAGTGCCATGCAGGGGCTGTGAGCTCCTGGAATCTTAGAAGGGTCCTGGGGAAAGCTTCCAGGGCAGTATAGCAACCAGGTCAGTGGTGGGGAGGGGGAATCAGGCACGTCTGGGGCTAGCAGCAACCCTGTAGAGGGGTAGGAGGGGAGGGCAATACTTGTTATAGAGCACGATGTCTGGCCGCCACACAAGACTGCTGGGGATGCGGATGGCATCCAGGCCACCGTAGGCATCAGGATCCCATCGTAGATAGGCATCTGTCCACTCCTGCCGGATCCACAGGTACAGGGTCAGTACCTGGTTCCGCTCGTCCTAGTGGGGAGCACGGAGTGGGCACAGATGTGGACATATGTATTTGCATACCCTCATTTGCACACTCTCCTATAGGGCTCTGGTCAGCATCCACACACCCAGCTTGCCCATACAGTCCAGTTCCCACCCAGGCCTGACCTTTCTATGTGACCTTCTTCTCTTCTCTGGGCCTCAGGTTCATCAGCGGTTATCTAATCCCAGCTTAGTGGGGATTCAAATGTGCGAAGTGATGGGCACCACGAGTTAGTATCCAATACTTAGTAACTTTTATCATAGTTGTTAATAATTAACATTTACACAAAAAGGGTGACAGCAGAAGGTACTGCACCCATTAAAAAAATAAACATTTACAGAAAAAGAATTGCTTGAAGGATAATCTCAGTCTCTCCCTCTTTTGTTCCTTGACACTGTTAAGGTAAACATTCCACGGCTATACCACTGCCATAACGCACCATGTCGATGATCTGGGACAACGTCACCTCCAGGGTCACATTCAGAGTCTGGTCTGTGTCTGCCACAGGTCTCAGGGCACTTGTGTAGTTGGCAAAGAGGTCACGGAACAGCTTGTGAGCCAGCCTGCCCTCGGCTCCCAAGCACTCTGGGGGATCAGTAAGAAGGGTTGTCCATCTGTGACCCTAGTCTGGGGACCTCTGCTCACACCCTCCACTCCCAAGGCTGGAGCCTTATCACCTACTCCACTGTCTCAGAGCCTTCTGAATGGGTCTCTGATGTCTGCTCTCTGTCACTTTAGCTGTGGCTCCAGTTCCTCCCTGGGCTGCCTCCAGGGATGGATGAGGTAAAGGCCATAGAGTGGGTTGGTACTATCTTCTGGAGCAAGGCTGACAAATTTCTTCCCCTTCCCTTTTTCTTCCTGGGACCTGGATTCTGTTTGCCCTGCTACAGATGCTAGAGGGACCCAAATAGCCCACAGGAGTCCAAACTTTCACTCAGGCATGTCCCCCCACCCCCCACTCCAGTCTCTCAAACCTGTTTCTAATTCTCCATCTGCACTGCAGTTGGTTTTCAAAGCTTCTGATATGATGGGACACTCCCCCTTCTGAAAACACATTCTTCCCTAGGCTTTCCTGACACACATCTTCTTCAGTCCCTGACTTAAATATTATTCCCCAGAATCCTGTCCTTGGCTTTTCTCTTTTTACTTCAGCTCAAACTTTTCTCCTGAGCTCCAGACCCATATATACTCCAGACCCATAAATATATTCAGGAGCAATGCGCTCCTGAATTTCTTACAGACACCTTAAACTCTGTAGGTCCAAAATATGAACTCATTTCTCACACCCATGCTCTTATTCTGTGTTCCCTATCTCAGCAAATAGCACCCCATTGACTTCAGCCAGAAACCTGGGAGTTATCCTTCCCTTTTCCCCCTTCCTTCTTCTCCCTCTGCAATCCAACCAACCTCCAAATCTTGTCAGATCATTTAAATCCCCCAAATTTTATTAAACATCTCTTGACTCCATCCTCGCTAGCTTGGACCACAATAGAAGCAGGCTCCTTTCTGCACCCACCCACATTCTTAGGCTCACCTCCCTCCACACTTCCAACAGGTCAAGCTTTTAAACATGCACATCTGACCAGGCAGTGGCTCCCAACTGGCTGCATGATAAAGCACTGGTCTGGCCTTCACACCTGTCATGATCTGGCCCCGCTGACTTTTCCAGCCCTATCTTTGGAAGCTCCCCACTCACCATCCCACCCCAACTAGCCATGTCTCCTCTCCCCCTCTTCAGCACCCCTTTCTCCATACTCCCCACATAGAGTGCTTATTCTCAGCACAGGTGATGAGGAGAAAGACAGAGACCATGTGGAGAGAGATCTGGGGAGGACAGGAATACCATGAGGCCAGGAGAGGCCAGGGCTGGTTTACTGAGCTTCATACCTGGAGGGAGTAGGAACAGGAGCAGAAGGCTCAGGCTGAGGTGGTGGCTCCTGGGCTCCATGGCCTGGCCACAGCAAGAGGTGGTGCCAGTCTCCGGATGTGAGGCCTCTCGGCCAGACCTGGGGCAAAATCAGGCCCAGCTGGCAAGGATGGTGTGGCCAGTATCTAGACGTCAAAAGTAAGACTGAGATCTCTGGTGGGTCCACCTACCCTCCAGGGAGTCCTGTAGCCCTTCCGGTTCTCTGACCCTGCTATTTGTACCTGGCCTTGGATTTTAGTTCTTGGTCCTTGGCATCTGTTGTTTCTCTTCTGCTGGTCCTTCCCTCTTCTGGGCCCTGCCCCCCTACTTTTTACTGTCTGTATTTCCTTTTGTCTTTCTCTCTGTAATTCTTTCTTAGTCTCTCTGCCTTCCTGACTCTGATCTTCCTGTCTGCCTCTTTCCAATCTCTCTCTTTTTCTCCTACGTCTGTTACATCTCACCTCTCCTCCTTCCTGCAATCCTGCACACCTGGAATCTAGGTGTCTGCTGCTCTCTCAGAACAAGGGACAGGGACTTTATCAGCCCTGAGGGGTCTGACGCACAGGATGGGGGGGCTCTTAGCTCTTCTCATTAGCTTAGTTGCAGGGTTGGGATACCTGTGCCCATGGTAACAGAGCAACTGAAACTGACACCTCAGGCCTCTGGGACCTGAATTATTCAAACTGCTTTAAAGCAGCACCCAAGCTCATCTTGGGCCCATCCTGGGGGGTTAGAAAGTACAGGTATACTGGGGTCAGGATCTGTGGAAGACTAGGGCCAAGGGTGTAAGGGACCGGGCCGTGGATCAGGAACTGTCCTCCCAGCTGTGCCACTATTGCCTGAGTTCTGGAGGCTCCCTTTAGACCGCCAGCTCTCCTCCCAGTGAGGGACTGACACATCAGGCTAGGTGCCATGTGCCAGGCAAGCTCCCCTCTCCTGGTGGGAGTGGTACTAAGCCTCGCAGCTCCAGGTGGCCCCACAAACCAGGAGATGCAGCCCATATCCTTTCCTCACAGTCCGTCTAGCTATCTGATCTGAGCCTTAGTTTTTGCTGTGCTCAAACACCATGGGCAGTATGGGCTAGTAGGGAAAGCACTGGCTTTAGAATTACTTTCTTTTTTTTTTTTATTTTTATTTTTATTTTGCTCAAGAAACTGAAATCTATAGAATTACTTTCAACTCTGTCTTAGGAGCTGTCTGACCTGGGTAAGATATTGAAACTCTGGTTTCAGTTTTTTCAATATGGATAATGGGATTAACAGTATTCACCTTACAAACTGTAAGGATTAAATGAGACAACCCAATAGTGCAAGAGAAGGGTCTAGCATGGTGCCTAAGGTACAGCAGGCAGTTACAAGTATTTACACTATGGTTCTAGTGAGTTAGTCAGGATATCTTCAGGAACACAAATTTAGATTCACAGGTATTTATTATGCATAACATTTTTTATTACTTTTGTCCAAGTTGGCCAGTTGCCTGACTGACAGCTACACATACTTCCCTGGCAATCACATCCATGGCCAGGACTTCAGATATCGTGGATACACCAGTGATTCCCTTCCCTTTCTACAGCCCGGTCCCCAGATGCTTATATCCAACCATCTTCCCAACATCTCCCTCTGGATGTTGCACAAGCATTTCAAAATGAAATGTTTCACAAAATCCAACACTTACTCCTACTAAAAACTCTCAGCAATCTAGGAATGGAAGGAACTTCCTCAACTTATTAAAGAACTACTACGAAAAAAAGCCCTACAGTTAACATTATACATAATGGTGAGGAAGTAGAAGCTTTTCCCCCAAGATCAGAGCAAAGTAAAGACGTCTGCTCTCACCACTCCTATTCAACATTATATTGAAGTCCTAGTTCATTCAGTAAGACAAGAAAAGGAGATAAAAGGTATACAGATTGGGAAGGAAGAAATAAAACTATTTGCAAATTATATGGTTGTTTATATAGAAGATCCCAAAGAATCAACAACAACAAAAAAACTACTGGAACTAATAACTGATTATAGCAAGGTTATACAATACAAAGGTAATATACAAAAGTCAATTGCTTTCTTATGTGCCAGCAAGGAACAATTAGAATTTGAAATTAAAAGCACATTACCATTGAAATTAACACCAAAAAAACCACAAAAAAACTTAGGAATAAATTTCATAAAATATATATAAGATATATATGAGGAAAACTATAAAATTCTGATGAAATATAAAAAAAAGAGGTAAATAAAAATGTTCATGGATAGAAGACTCAAAATTGTTAAGATGTCAGTTCCTTCCAACTTGATATGTAGATTCAATGCAATCTCATTTAAAATCACAGCTAGTGATTTTTAAAGATATCAACAGATTCTAAAGTTTATATGGAGAAGCAAAAGACCAGAATAGCCAATACAATTCTGAAGAAGAAGAGCAAAGTTGGAGGACTAACACTACCCAACTTCAAGACTTACTATAAAGCTACAGTAATCAAGACAATGTGGTATTGGTAAAAGAATGGATACATAGATCAATGGAACAGAATAAAGAGCCAGAAATAGATCAACACAAATATAGTCAATTGATCTTTGATAAAGGAGCAAAGGCAATTCAATGGAGAAAGGATGGTCTTTTCAACAAACACTGTTGCAACAATGGGACATCCACCACAAAACCAAAAACTTAATGAATATAAATTTTACACATCTTTCACAAAAATTAACTCAAAATGGATCATAGATCTAATGTAAAATGCCAAATCATAACTTTTAGTGATGACATAGGAAAAAATCTAGGTGACCTTGGGTTTGGCAAATGAGCATTTTAATTTTTTTTTTTGAGACAGTCTCGCTTTGTTGCCCAGGCTAGAGTGAGTGCCGGGGTGTCAGCCAAGCTCACAGCAACCTCAAACTCCTGGGCTCAAGCAATCCTACTGCCTCAGCCTCCCGAGTAGCTGGGACTACAGGCATGCGCCACCATGCCCAGCTAATTTTTTCTATATATATATTAGTTGGCCAATGAATTTCTTTCTATTTATAGTAGAGACGGGGTCTTGCTCTTGCTCAAGCTGGTTTCGAACTCCTGACCTCAAACAATCCGCCTGCCTTGGCCTCCCAGAGAGCTAGGATTACAGGCGTGAGCCACCGCGCCCTGGCCTGAGCATTTTAATTTTTATTTATTTATTTATTTTCGACACTTATTTTTGGAAAAGTCTCACTCTGTTGCCCAAGCTGGAGTGCAGAGGCCCAATCATAGCTTGCTGCAGCCTTGAACTCCTGGGCTTAAGTGATCCTCCCACTCTAGCCTCCCAAGTAGCAGGGACTACAGGTGTATGCCCCCACATCCAGCTAATTTTTAAATTTTTTGTAGAGATGGGGTCTTATTAAAGAACCATTAAAACCCCAAGAAAACAAACAATCCAATTACAAAATTGGACAGAAGACACACACAGAAGTATACAGATAACATTAATGGATTAACAAAATATGGAATATCTATAAAATGGTTAAAAATGGGAATGACTGCCAAGAGAAATGGGGTTTACTTAGGGAAGAATGGAAATGTTTTGGAACTAGTAGTGTTGGTTGCACAATAGTGAATGTACTAAAAACCACTACAGTGTACACTTTGAAATGGTGAACTTTAGGCCGCGTGCGGTGACTCACGCCTGAAATCCTAACACTCTGGGAGGCCGAGGCAGGCAGATTGCTCAAGTTCAGGAGTTCAAAACCAGCCTGAGCAAGAGACCTCGTCTCTACTATAAACAAAAAGAAATTAATTGGCCAACTAATATATATATATATAAAAAAAAAATTAGCCGGGCATGGTGGTGCATGCCTGTCGTCCCAGCTACTCGGGAGGCTGAGGCAGGATTGCTTGAGCCCAGCAGTTTGAAGTTGCTGTGAGCTAAGCTGACGCCACGGCACTCACTCTAGCCTGGGCAACAAAGCGAGACTGTCTCAAAAAAAATAAAAATAAAAAAATAAAAAATAAAATGGTGAACTTTATATTATGTGAAGTATATCTCAATTTTTAAAGTGCTACAAAACTTTTGAATTTCTCAAAAATGACATATAAGATACACATTTCTAAAAAAAAGATATACAAGTGGCCAATGAACACAAAAAAAGATGCTAAACATTATTTGTCATCAAATGTCTTAGTCCCTTTGGGCTACTGTAACAAAATATCATAGACTGGGTAGCTTATAAACAACAGAAATGTACTTCTCACAGTTTTGGAGGCTGGTAAATCCAAGATCAAGATACCAGCAGATTCAGTGTCTGGTGAGGGCCTGTTTCCTGATTCCACACATGGCACCTTCCTGCAGTGTCCTCACATGGTGGAAAGGACAAGGTAGCTTTCTGGAGCCTCTTTCATAAGGGCATTAATCTCATCCATGAGGTCTCCACCATTATGACCTAATCATCTCTCAAAGGCCCTACCACCTCACACCATCTCATTTGTGATTAGGTTTCAACATACGAATTTGGGGTTGGGGGCACAAACATTTTAGACCATAGCATCAGAGAAATGCAAACCATAATTAGATACTGCTTCGCATCTACTAGGATGCCTATAACCAAAATGATAAACAATAATAAATCCTGGTGAAGATTTGGAGAAATCAGAACCCTCATGTTGCTAGAGACAATGTAAATTGGTGTAGCCACTTTGGAAAAGTTTTGCATAGACTCAGTTTCCATATGTTTCAGCAATTTAACTTCTTAGTGAAATGAAGAAATGAAAATATGCCCACATAAGAGCAAGACCCTATCTCTACTAAAAAAATAGAAATTAATTGACCAACTAAAAATATATATCCCCCCAAAATTAGCCAGGCATGGTGGCGCATGCCTGTAGTCCCAGCTACTCAGGAGGCTAAGGCAGTAGGATCGCTTGAGCCCAGGAGATTGAGATTGCTGTGAGCTAGGCTGACGCCACGGCATTCACTCTAGCCTGGGCAACAGAGTTAGACTGTCTCAAAAAAAGAAAAACAAAATATGTCCACACAAAAACTTGTACAAGAATGTCCATACCCAGCATTGTTTATAGTAGTCACAAAATAGAAACATGCAAACAATACAACTGTCATTCAACTGATGAAAAAAGGGCAAGTGTCTGTAGTCCCACCTACTCGGGAGGCTGAGAGAGAAGGATCACTTGGCTGTAGTGCTCTCATGATCATGCCTGTGAAATGCAATTGCACTCTGGCCTGGGCAACATAGCAAGATCCTGGCTCTTAAAAAAAGTAGTTGTAAAATGGATGATTACTTGACTATAAAAAGGAACAAAGTACTGATACATGCTACATGATCAAACCTTGAAATATTAAGTGAAAGAAGCCAATTACATGATCACATACTGTGTGATTCCCTTTATATAAATGTCCAGAATTGGCAAATCTATAGAGATTAGAAGTAAATTAGTGGTTATCAAAATTTAGGCCTGAGAAGATTGAGAGATAATGGCTAAAGGCTTCAGGGTTTTATTTGAGGGATTATGAAAATATTCTAAAACTGATTGTGATGATCATTATACAACTCTGTGAATATTGCAAAAATAACTGTATATATCAAGTGGGTAATTGTATGACATGTGAATTATATCTCAATAAACTGTTATCAAAAAAGTGATAACCTATCATCAGTGAGAGTTAGCTGAGACAAGAAAACAATTGCAAAAATAAGAGATAACAGATATTGGACATGTTAGACAATGATAATTTTAATAGTTAATTTGGGCATTGTTCTAAATACCTTAACATAAATTAATTCATATCTCTCACAATACCCTTTAAAAGTAGACACTATTATTGTTTTTATTTTATAAAACAAAAGGTGACTGAGACACAGGAATAATTTACCCAAGATCCCATAGCTCATAATAACAACAGTGGACCTGGGATCTGAACATAGTTACAGTAAGTTCATCTCTTTCTATACTACAACTATACTGACTCATTTAAAAACAAAATAGAAGTATGCATAATATAATTTAAGAAATAAGATGGAGTGACCAGATGCAATGGCTCACACTTGTTAATCCCAGCACTTTGGGAGGCCCAGGTGGAAGGACTGCTTGAGGAGTTCAAGACCAACCTGGGTAATAAATATAGCTGAGACCCTGTCTCTACAAAATATTTTTTTATTTATTTTATTTATTTATTTATTTTCGACACTTATTTTTGGAAAAGTCTCACTCTGTTGCCCAAGCTGGAGTGCAGAGGCCCAATCATAGCTTGCTGCAGCCTTGAACTCCTGGGCTTAAGTGATCCTCCCACTCTAGCCTCCCAAGTAGCAGGGACTACAGGTGTATGCCCCCACATCCAGCTAATTTTTAAATTTTTTGTAGAGATGGGGTCTTATTAAAGAACCATTAAAACCCCAAGAAAACAAACAATCCAATTACAAAATTGGACAGAAGACACACACAGAAGTATACAGATAACATTAATGGATTAACAAAATATGGAATATCTATAAAATGGTTAAAAATGGGAATGACTGCCAAGAGAAATGGGGTTTACTTAGGGAAGAATGGAAATGTTTTGGAACTAGTAGTGTTGGTTGCACAATAGTGAATGTACTAAAAACCACTACAGTGTACACTTTGAAATGGTGAACTTTAGGCCGCGTGCGGTGACTCACGCCTGAAATCCTAACACTCTGGGAGGCCGAGGCAGGCAGATTGCTCAAGTTCAGGAGTTCAAAACCAGCCTGAGCAAGAGACCTCGTCTCTACTATAAACA